TGGCACTGAATGCATTTCACAAAGCTGGTCTGCTTCAGTTCTGTACATCATGACCTAATGGTCCGAATGGCTTTCTCTGTCGTAAATTTCTGCCTGAGGTCTGAAATTACACCTACACAAAGATAAATATTTGTCTTTAAGTTTAAGAACATTTAGAATTTGGAAATTCCTTAAATTCAGTCTTAATGTGGAAGACAGTTCTGTTAAGAACTGCAGAAAAATGGATTCAGAATTTAGGAATTTCCCACAATTCTTTGTGATCTTACAATTTTAAGACCTAATGGACCTGGAGGCTAAGACTAGGTGTAATTTTGGACCTTTGGTGGGTAAAAATCCACAATTGCTGTGACAAATGACATTACGTTAGCTATTGTGTATGTCATTTTATTTATGAATGTGGGAAGCTCATGCAATGCTATTGATTTTACATAATATTTGCCAGAGGTACTGTACAAATAATTTGTAGTTGAAAAGATTTGTTGTTTGTGCTTGTTTATGAATGTTTATTTTTCACAAAAGTTTTCAGTTGCTTTTAAAAGGATTGAAAAGAAGCTGGTTGTAATTCGGTTATAGCGATTGAGAGTAAGTGACTTCATCAAGTGGTTTTAGATTTCTAGTCCTCTTATTATCTATCCAGTATAATTATTTGGATTAATTTGTTAATTTAATAAGTGCTATGGTTATTGCATAGTCCATACATTATTTTAAAAAGCCAATTAGATGCTTGGTAAAGAAGAAGATTAAAGCTATGTGAGGAAAGTGGAATTAGACTGATTGGCTCATTTGCGGAAAAGCACTTGATGGGCTGAATGAACTGTTTCTTTTCCTGCAATGTTCTGTTCTCTATACTGAAGTTAAATAATGTGTGTATATGTTCCTACTTTGCTCTGGACAGAGCATGTGTACATTTGCCAATGTCGAGTAGTGTGTGCAGTTGATGCTAATAGTGAGAGTGAGGTTTATCATATGGTGATACCTGGTTGTGGCTGTGTTTTTTGTCTTGGCGCAGCCTGCTTTGGCTGAGCTTAGCTTGCTTTTATTTCTAACATTAACTCGCTATAGGTCTGTCGGGTTTCAGTAGCATGACTGCAATTTATGCAAGATTCTTCTTGCAGTTCTTAAGTGGGCATTGTTCAAGCTCTTCCCTGCTTCCCACAACTTTGCACGACTTGTAGAGCAATGTTTATAGACCTCCGTCAAGGTGTTTGTGGCACAGATTGTCTCTCTTTGCCAGGGAATGTGTGGACATAGATTGTTATCCTCATCCAGGGTGTCTGTATGGCCCCAGGGTACTGATCTCTGTCACTCATAGTGTCTCTCCCCCAGGGTACTGATGTCTGTCACTCACAGTGTCTCCCCCCAGGGTACTGATCTCTGTCACTCACAGTGTCTCTCCCCCAGGGTACTGATCTATGTCACTCACAGTGTCTCTCCCCCCAGGGTACTGATCTCTGTCACTCATAGTGTCTCTCCCCCCAGGGTACTGAGCTCTGTCACACACAGTGTCTCTCCCCCAGGGTACTGATATCTGTCACTCATAGTGTCTCACCCCCCCAGGGTACTGATCTCTGTCACTCATAGTGTCTCTCCCCCCAGGGTACTGATCTCTGTCACTCATAGTGTCTCTCCCCCCAGGTACTGATCTCTGTCACTCATAGTGTCTCCCCCCAGGGTACTGATCTCTGTCACTCATAGTGTCTCTCCCCCAGGTACTGATCTCTGTCACTCATAGTGTCTCTCCCCCAGGGTACTGAGTCTCTGTCACATCATAGTGTCTCTCCCCCAGGGTACTGATCTCTGTCACTCACAGTGTCTCTCCCCCAGGGTACTGATCTCTGTCACTCATAGTGTCTCTCCCCCAGGGTACTGATCTCTGTCACTCATAGTGTCTCCCCCCAGGGTACTGATCTGTGTCACTCACAGTGTCTCTCCCCCCAGGGTACTGATGTCTGTCACACATAGTGTCTCTCCCCCCAGGGTACTGATCTCTGTCACTCATAGTGTCTC